GAATTGCTTAGTGGATTGCTAAGGGCCCCCCAGTTCTGTGCGACCAAGGACTCATGATCGAGAGGAGGGTGTTTACTCCCCATTCTCAGTGGTTGCCATCCGTCACACCTCAGCCCTAATCTGCATACAGTACCGGAGCGAGATGGGAACCATGGGGTTTTCAATCGGATTCAGCTGCTGTGGTTTAAGATTTTTTTCAGTAGAATTTGACCCAGAATCAGGACGAAAGCAATACGCATTTGATAAGAAAAAACCATGACTCGGTCATGCCCTGGGCACTTGTTGGTCGCATCCCTAGGGCTCTCACACTCGGCGCCAACAGCAGGCCTCCCCGCCCCCCGGGCTGAAGGGCCACCAAGACACGTCCCAGATTGGCTCAGCCTGGTTTCAATATCCAGTTTCCTGTTCCCCAAAGTGTCCTCTCTTATCAGAATATAAGCCGCGATTTTGGGTCAGGAGGAGAGAGCCCAGTAGATATGAGGCTTGAACCCCAAGGGAAGGCTCCAGTTCCTGAAAAACTAATTCTACACCAGCAGCTGCCCCTGAAGTGCCATGAAGAAATGGGTTTCAGCAGCATTGTAAGTAGCGTTCCTGCAATGTTTTCGAGAACAACACCACTGTCCACACACAACCAAAAATAAAAACAGCAGTCTGGCCCTCGCTGGTTTGGCTCAGTGGATAAAGCGTCGGCCTGCGAACTGAAGGGTCCTGGGTTCGGTTCCAGTCAAGGGCACATGCCCGGGTTGTAGACTCAATCCTCAGTAGCGGGTGTGCAGGAGGCAGCCAGTCAATGATTCTCTCATCATTGATGTTTCCATCTCTCCCTCCCCCTCCATTCCTCTCTGAAATCAATAAAAATATTCTTAAATAAAAGCATCAGTTTAATGTATTCTCCTTAGAGGCCCTCGTGGAGAGAAGCTGGACACCCGTGTTGGTGCCTCCAACTCCCAGCTGGAAAGATGGCTGGAGAATAGGGGAATAATGGGGCCATTATTGAGTTCATGATCAAGGTCAATACAGGTTTCTATCCATAAAGAAACTTGGTGGCCCTCTCTTTCAGTGGCAGCACAGGGTCAAGGGTAAATGCCACACAATGATGAACGACCACCCTGATTATCATGTGTGTAGGACGTTGTGTCCTCCAAACCCCTTACTCAGACATGATGTCATTGAGTACTCACCACAGCTTTCTCTTCAGCTCCATTTTACAGATGGGGAAACTGAGGCTCAGAGAGGTAAAGCAACTGCTCAAGGTCACACAGCAGGTAAGAGGCAGAGCCAGGGTAGGGACCCAGGGCTGTCTACTTATGTGCCTGACCACCCATAGGGCTCTCTCTTGGTGGTGAGGGGTGGGCAGGGAAACAAGACCTCAGTCTGGAGATCTGACTCAGGAATGGGGCCGAGAGCCCTTGGAGTGAATGCTCACCATCGCACCGGGCTGAGCTCATGAGTATCATTAGGTCCTGCAGCATCCACCCAGCCCACTAGGCCCCCAGCAGGAAGTCTATCTTTTTCCGGCCACAGCAGGTGGAAATAGTGTGAACTAAGGAAATACCACCAGCACCGCTAACAGCTGAGTGCCGTCTCCTGGCAGCTCAGAGACTGCTGACCCACGCACCAGCTGGGAGGCCCCTGTGGGGAGGGCGCTGAGCGCGGTGGAGGCAGACAGCCCAGGCTCTGGTCTCTGCGTGCTGTGTGACCTGGGGTAAGTGGCTGGACTTCTCTGAACCTTGGTCTTTATATCTGTAAAAAGACGATAATGGAATCACTCCCGCAACATGGATAAGCAAGTGTCCAGCTCCAGGCCAGGCACAGTTTTTGGGCTGAGGGGATAGAAAGGTCAATGTCCCCACACTGTGCCATCCGTCTGCCTACCCAGCAGCCTTGTTGATGTCCAGAGTGAGAAACCCTGAACCAGGGGGAAATCCCACTGGCCCTTCGGCTGCCTTTTTAAGCAGCGGCTCAGGGGCTGGGGTAGCTGCTCATTAGGCCTCACAAGGGACAGGTTGGGGGTGGGGATCTCAGGTCCAGAAAGGCACTTTGCCCCAGAGTGAATCCTTCCTGAGGTCAATGTGAGCTGCCATTGCACTCACCAGGGCCTGACCCTCCCGGGTGCCCGGCACGCGTGGGCGCCCCAGAGACTCGCTCGACGAGCAGTTCCGGGCCCTGACCACCTAGACGCCTTCACCTCTGGAGAGGGTCCAAGGCGGGTCCTCACCCCAAGCAGCTCCAATGACTTGACATTCAGCCCCACCCAAGCGTGAAGGTGGCCTTGTGGCCCAGCCTCCACCCTTGCAATTGCTAGTGACCGTGTACGTCCAAACCGAGCCGATCACAGCCAATGAAACTCAGTTCTGGGACTTTCGACCAAAACGAGGGCAGTGGGCTCCCTTCTCCCCACAGGACTTACAGCCCTGCAGGAGGGAGGCCCTGTTTCCCTCAGGGGACAGCCAGTCTGAGAAGGGGGCCACTGCAGCACAAGGAATTGCTGAGAGATAGAGCCAGCATTCTCATTCTCATGGCGGCATTTGAGTTCTGGATGGAGCCATACCTAAACCTCATGGACTTCTCAGTTACGCGAGGCAACAAATGCCCCTTTCGTCCTTGTTTGGGGGGTGGAGGGGGCAGCATGGAATGCTTCTTCTTTTACTGAGGTATAATTGTCATCCAGCATTATATTCGTTTCAGGCCTACGGCATGATGATTCTATATTTGTATGTATTGTGAAATGACTACCACAATAAGTCTATTTAACATCTGTCACCACACACAGGCACAGAATTCAACCAGCCTAAGTCAGGCTTTCTGTCGCTTGCAGTCTAAAAGGTCCTGCCTGATAAATCTATTCTCTGGCATAAAGGTCTCTTGTAAAACCATGTTAATAAAGTGATGGATGCTCGAATTGGCAGAGATTCAGGGAGAAGGAACTGAATAATTCTTCAAGATTTCAACTCAGGCTTTAGGATGTCCTACCCTCTTCCAGTGTCATTGGAGGGGGAGAAGGGGGAACATGCTTCTGAACTGGAAGCCTTGAGTTTAAATCTCAGCTCTCTCTTACTAGCTGTGTGACCTTGGACAAGTCACTAATCCTCTCTGAGACCCCATTTCCTCAAGCCTCTGAGGGCTGTAATGAGGGTAAAATGAAATAATTCAATATAGCACCAAGTGCACAGTAGGTCAATAAATGCACCCCCTACAATATGGATCATCCCATTTAGATCTGCTCCAGGAGACGCATGGGGACAGAGAGGCAGGCATCCTGGCCCCAGAGAATCCACTCATGGTGGGCACTGCCCAGCGTGTTTCTTCTCTTGGTCTTATCAAGAAGCAAGACTGGAGAGTAGAAAAAGGCCAGAGCTTTGGGGTCAGAGAGACCTGGGTGTAAGTCCTACCTATGCTCTGTGACCTGAGGCAAGTTGCCTAACCTCTCTGAGCCTTGTTCCCTCTTCTCTGAACCCCGCCATGCCTTTGGCTTCAATTGCTTGACCTCCCTGATGAACACCAAAGCTCTGTGTCCAGGCCCAACTGCTCGCCAGCGTTCAGACCCCCGGGCGTCTCCACCAGAATGTCTTCCAGGCTCCCCACACCCAGCACAGCAGCCTGGCTTGTCTACCCCTCCAGGGATGATTTGGGCGCATGACCTTGGTCTTGGTTTTTGCCCCATCTCATGAGTAGGTCATAGCTGATCACTGTAGAGGCTCTCCCGGCCCTAACATCGCAGGATTCTCAACGCCAACATGTCATCATCCGAACCCGGCCCCGCCTCCTGCCCAGACTTACCGCCTTCAAAAGCAGTCCCTCCGTTGTCCAATGGACCCCGCTCACACACTCAGAGTTAACATGGATTTGTCCATCTCGTTCATGACAGCCCCAAGTCCGGAGCATCTTCTCAGAAATGCAACCCTCTCCCCCTACTCCCCCTGTGGCCGTCATCCTCGGCCACACCCCCAGGACATCCAGGCTCCAGCACGGGCCTCCCCATGGAGCCCCCCCTCCACGCCTCCCCCCGCCCCTCCGGGGAGCCGATGCCAGTGAAGGATGGTGGAGCTTCCCTCCTCAACAGCCTTTGCATAAAGGCTGGGCCTCCTCATGTCGCCATTAAGGATTGGCCTTCACTGTTGACAGTGTTGGTGCCCGGAGAGTCTTTTTAAGGCTGGGCATGAGGAGAGGAGCTTTTCGTGCTGTTCCCATTAGATAATAAATTTTTGTCTCATTCATTCATTCATTCATTCATTCTTTTCAAAACACAGCCCTTGGATGTTCATCTCCCCTGAAGGCGGACCACCCCAGAGACCTGCCCCGTGTGAATCTCATGAACGCCAGGGGCCTTTGCTTCACAAAGCTGCACTTGCACATGACTTTTTGGGGCATTTCAGGGGGTTCATGGCCCCCAAAGCCCATCGATAGAGCAGAGTCCGCCCCTGGTTGAGCTCATTTCACAGACGGGAGGCTGAGATGCAGAGGAAGGGACCTGCCAGAGAACAGGGAGAGCAGGGCTTCCTGCCAGGCACTAGCCCACCTCATGGAAGTGCCAGTCCACTCCTGCTCCAGGCCCACGGCTTTGTGTGTAAACCCTGTAACTCCTGACATCTTTGCACTGTTTCCTCATCCATGCAAGAGGGACCAGGCCTGAACAGCGAGGCCGCGGTGAGGTGACATGTGTACAGGAGCCCAGCCCGTGCGTGGGAGACAATCCCAGTTCCATCCCTTCGCTCGCCTCCCTCTTCCTTCCCTTGCAGGCTTTTGGAGAACAGAAACATTGCTGCCGTCGAAAGTGGTCATGGAAGGCTTCACGGAAGAGGAGAGCCTGGCCTGAGCCTCAGCTTGGGTGCTGAAGGGAGGCAGGGGCCAAGGTTATTAATAGGCCCAGCTTGATGGGCCCAGGGAGGCTGAATGTGATACAGACACCCAGCACCGCAGTTGAGAAGTATCTGACACCAGAAGGGGAGGGGGCCGTGGGCCGGGGGGAGCAGCACCTCCCAAAATAGCCAGAGCAGAAGCCTATATAGGCGGCTATCCCACCACCAGGCTCACTTCCCCACAGGACCTCCCACCAGCCCAGCCTCTCAGCCCAGGCTCAGCCCTCCACCCCCAACCAAGGTGAGTGGCAGCTCCTGAGATCGGAGGAGGATGGAGGGATGCAGTGGGGAGGAGGCCAGCTGGAAGGGACAGCCATTCCTCCCCTTCCCCCAGCGGCACAGGGCTGGGCTGAGGGGTGCGGCACTGGTAGGCCGTGGCGGAGCCCAGGCCTGAGAACAAGAATTCCTGGGAGCTCCAGACTAACTCCCGGGGCGGCCTGGGGCAGACTGCCTGGCTGGGCCTCAGGTTTTCCACTTGTAAAATGAGAGGGGTGGAGCCAGACATCCGTGGGCTCCAGTGCTGCCGTCAGTGGGCAGAGAGGCAGGGGGAAGGGGCACGGGCGGGCGGGAGCCGGGCTGAGGCGATAGCATCTGATGCTGGTGGGTGGACTGCAGCCCGGGGAGGGTGTCACGTTGATGGAGGCTCTGCAGCGGGAGAGACGGAGGAAGGAGGCGAAGGCCGGGCCCCTGTGGAGCCTTTGCCCCAGGGGTCAGCATCCGGACACTCAGCCATGTGGGACCTCATAGCGCTGGGTCCTGAGCTCTGGGGGGAGCCCCAGGGTGGCGTCACCAACGCCGCGTCAGCAGCCCTGGGAGTGGGCCGCTCTCTGCCGCTGCCTCTCCGCACATGCACGGGCCATTTGCTGGCTCTGTGGCCTCAGTTTCCCTACCAGGACAGCATAAGGACCCTTCAGCTGGGGAAACCAATTCTCCAGCGAGTGCTTCTGGGGGTTGACATGAGCGCACGGGGGCCCGGCATGGCCAGGCTGACAGCTGCCTGGGGCCGCAGGGGCAGCTGAGGGTCCGGAGAAGGCCTCCCACGGGAGGGACCAGGCCGGGAGCTGCAGCCTGGGTGCCGGGAGGCCAGACGGCAGGCTGTTCCTGAAGGAGCTGACTCACAGGAGGGGGGCAGTCAGCGCCAGCAGCATCCTAAGGTTTCCAAGGAGGGCAGCCGTCCAGGGCCAAGCGGAGGGAGACCGTGTTGACAGTGAGCGCCATGGAACCTGAGCTCTGGGCAGCTGGCTATTTTCCCTGCTCCCCCTGCCCCCCACCACCAAGGGCCACCATCTTAGTCCCTGCCCACCTGCCCACACACCTGAAGGGGGAGTTTCAAGGTCCCTCCCCAAGGGACCACCAACCCCATCCACCAAGGGAGACAGAAGGCCAGAGACGGGACGGTCACAGCCCAAGGTCACACCGGGACTTAGCGCAGCCCCAGATCTAGAACCCAGGCCTCCTGGCTCCCTGTTTAGTGCTCCACACACTCCACAGGCGGCCGTGCAGCCTGACTCCTCGGATGGAGGCCGTGGCCATGGCCGTGGCCGTGGGAAAGAATGCAACTGGTTTCTGCTGCGTGGAGATAGGAGGTGTCACATTTCCCCAGATGGAGTTCAGGCCATCTACCTGCTGCGCTTCGCTGTCCGGAAAGTGTGGTCTGAAGGTGCCACCCTCTCCCCAAACCTGGGCCTTTTGGTCTCCAAGACGGAGGGGAGTTGGGGGGGGGGGGCAGTACATAGAGATTCGGAGTAGCCTCTCCTGCCCTACCTCCTCCAAAAGTTTTGTGGGGGCAGGAGGAGTCCCACCCCGCTATTCCGGGGCTCAGGAGACCGAGAAGCAAGTAGCTATGGAGATCTAAGCAGGGTTCTTTGAAAAGTGAGACTAGAGGGAGAAAATGAGGTTTCAGGATGCGCATCCCTGACCAGATGTGGGCCGGGGCACCCGCAGAGAGCCCGGCAGTGCCCGCCTACCTGAGCCCCCCCTCCCAGTCCTGTGGGTCGGGTTTCCAGACCTGAGCGCTCAGATTTTGCAGCATAAAATTTGCATCCAGGACAGACCAGAGCGGAGGCTGCGTGAGGTAGGAGCCGAGAGAGAGTGGCGGCCGGGCTCGGGCCCCTGGAGGGTGTAGGTCTGGCCCCTGCCTGTCCGCGTTCTCCCCGAAGCCGCGGGGCATCCTCCGAGGTGCACCCCGCGTGCCCTTGATGGCAGGCGAACCCTCCACCCCGGCTGGTGACACGGGCCACCCCTAAAGTCCAGAGGTCCCCCTTCCCCCGGTGCCCTGGCCGCAGCCCCGGGGCGGCGAGGACCCCTGGCGGGGCGGGACAGCGGCGGCGGCGGCGGCTGCGGGACTCGCGCGGGGCGGCGGAACCGGCGGAACCGGCGGAACCGAGCGGCTCTGGCTGCGCGCCCGGCCCCGCGCCCCCTGGCTCCGCGCCAAGCCGGCCCGCGTGCGCCCGGCGCGCAGCACTGCAGCGCCGGTCATATGAGCAGAAATGATGAGAAAAGCACTTTTTAATCTTTTCGCACTTGCTCTGCCCGCTCAAACAGTTGCAGGATGTCGATGACAGACTTGCTCAGCGTTGAGGACATCAAGAAGGCCCTGGGGGCCTTTGCCGGTGAGCAGCGCCCCCCCCCCAACCCAGTCCTCTACCCTCGCCCACCACCCTGGCCCCTGGCCCCTGGCCCTCTCCGTCTGTGCATCCCGTCGGGGGCGCCGGGGGCGGGGGGTGGGGGAGCGGGCGGAGAGTGGGAGTCCTCAGCATGTCCCAAACTCGTCCGGGCGGGACTTGGGTCGGTGGGGAAGCCGTGCGACCTGCCCCAGCCACTGGAAACTTGGGGCCACCAAAGGCTGGGTGGCCCTGCTGGGAGGGCTGGAGTCCCCACCAAGGTCGAAGACCCGGGTCCTTGGCCCGGGACTTCCCCTTTAGGCGCGCAGGAGGGGCTGCAGGCAGCGGGCATGCCTTCTCGCCCACCCCTTACCTCGCCCCCCATTGTGGACAGGGCTCTTCCCGCGGGGCAGTGGGGAAGGGCTGGCCCCACTGCTGTCCAAACCCCCCGCCCCCAGGGCTCAGAGCCCTTTCCAGGGGGCCCAGAGTGAGGTGACCTTCCTAGGGCTGGCGCCCTGCTCTGCCCTGCCCAGCCAGGCTGAGCATCCTTAGCACTGCAACTTCAGCTCCCTGGGCGGCCCAGGGAGAGAGGGAAGCTTCTGAGCAGCCCAGGACTCCAGGCTGGCCGCCTCCCTCCCATCACCCGGATGGGGAAACTGAGGCTGGGAGAGGGTCAGAAACCAAGACCCAGTTCTAACCCCAAGGTCACCCAGCAGGCACCAGTGGGGTTAGGACTGGGTCTTGATCCCCCACCCTAGTGTCAGCCCTCGGTGAAGGGAGAACAGGACTCCTAACAGCACCCCACCCCCACACACACACATGTTACCCCCCTTCACATGGTACCCCTTCCCAGGGGTTCTTCAAAAGGAGCTCTGGACATAGAACACTGGGGAGGGGGACCCCATTTCCTTTCCGCTTGGTCCCCCCTCCCCTGGGCAGGAAGAAGCTGGGGAAGCCACCCTCCAGGGCGCGGAGACAACCCCCCACTTCTCTGGGAGCTGCCTTGCTCCCTCCAAATAGAAACTTAACTGGGAATTCCTGGGGAGCCTTCCAACATCCCCCCAACTCCCACCAGAACGGATTTCTGCAGCAAAACCAGAATTTCTGGGTCCTCCCCTTCCTCCGCCCAGGGTGTGACCTTGAGAGACATTTCTCCTCTCTGTGTGGGTTTTCTGGTAACACAATCTGTGGCCAAGAAAAAGCTTGCCTCTTCCCCCACCGGCCGGCTCCCCCGCCCCAAAATACACACACCAGGTTCCCATCCTGCAGTTCCGCCTCTCAGCCACCACAGCAAGGCGCCTGGACACCCTCTGCCTTCGGAGGGAGGGGGCCCCACCATCAGCGGAGGGAGGGTCCAGTGGTGGGTGGGGGAGGCCTGGGAGCCAGGGCGTCTGGGTGTAGGCTCCCCTCTCCCACCTCTGCCTCTGTGACCTTGGGCAAAGCGCCCTCTCCATCCTGGCCTGCCCCCCCTCCCATGGAGGTGGATCCCCTTTCTTCCCCAGGAGGGGCACAGGGAGTCAGTGACAAATTCTGGGACACCCCCCCACCCCCCTTCCCTACTGCCCTTGCCCGTAGGCATTCTAACCCCTCTCTCCACCCCCGCAGCTGCCGACTCCTTCGACCACAGAAAGTTCTTCCAGATGGTGGGGCTGAAGAAGAAGAGCGCGGACGAAGTGAAGAAGGTGTTCCAGATCCTGGACAAAGACAAGAGTGGCTTCATCGAGGAGGACGAGCTGGGGTAAACTGAGGCCTGCGGGGCTGCGCAGCGGGGGCTGGGGAGAGGGAGTGGGGGCTGGGACTCTTGCCCTCCTGTCTGCACCTTCACAGAAATAACCTCGTCCGACCACTGTTGCTTCCGGGAGAACCACCTCCTCAGCAAAAAGTGCGACTAACTAGCCTAAATGATAGCTGCTTAATCCTGCTAATGGGCTGATGCTACTTAATAATTTAACACAATTCAGAGGCCGTTTTTCTCCGCCTAACACTATAGGCAAGACAGAGAGCGCCAGCCCGAGTGTTCCATCGATTTTCATTTGTCTAAAAGGCACCTCCACCACCCACAGAGCCCAGCCTCCTGGCCCAGGGCGGCCAGGGCAGTGCCTGGGTGAATCCGGGAGGCGGAACCAGCATTGGGGTTCAGGAGACCAGGGAGCAAAGCAAAGGAGGAGGAGGTCATGATGAGGAAAGTGCACAAAGGCACCAGCACAGGAACCTCCCACCACAGCCCCCCTGGCCCCCTGGCCCAGGTCCACGACCCCGCTGCGCCCCATGTCACTCTCTGGCATAGGCTGCCTTGGATTTTGTCAGAAAGAGAAGCGGGGAGGGGGGAGAGGAGCCTTTTGAGTGAGGACTTCCTCATCCATCCAGTCTCCCTCCCCCTGCCCCCCCCCCCACCATCCACAAGGCTACCCTCTGTCTAGAGCAGCGGTTCTCAACCTGTAGGTCGCGACCCCTTTGGGGGTCGAACGACCCTTTCACAGGGGTTGCCTAAGACCATTGGAAAACACATATATAATTACATATTGTTTTTGTGATGAATCACTATGCTTTAATTATGTTCAATTTGTCCCAATGAAAATACATCCTGCCTATCAGATATTGACATTACGATTCCTAACAGTAGCAAAATTACAGTTATGAAGTAGCAACGAAAATAATTTTATGGTTGGGGGTCACCACAACATGAGGAACTGTATTAAAGGGTTGCGGCATTAGGAAGGTTGAGAACCACTGGTCTAGAGCCTTCTTCTATCCCCCCGGGTCTGATGTGTGTGCACACCTGTGCATACACACGCACACACACACACACTGCCACCCGCCTCCCGGCATCACCTTCTCCAGACTCTTCCCTTAGTTCCAGGAGTGATAGATGCCTCCTTCGAGCACCTGTCTACTTCCCGCCCCCACACCCATCACACCGGGCCGTCTCTCTCAGGGCGTTTGACCCCTCCTCATCTTTTCAGGCAGTTTCCCAGGGTTTCTCTGTGCCCATTCCCAGCATGGCACAGGCACAGAGAGGATACCTTTGTGTTGGTTGCATTGGCTGAACAAATAGCCAAGGGCAGGCGCCCTGCCTGGAGCAAGGTGGACCCGTCACTGAGGACAGCCTGTCCTTCCCACACAGCCACCCAGGAGGGCACAGCACAGCCCGGCTGCCGGCCCCGCACAACCGCCCGCATGCCCGCTGCTGGCTGCCTGTCCCAGCTGCCCCTTCCCCTGCAGATGCCAGCCCACCGTCCACAGAGGGTTCCTGCAAAGGTGACCTTGATCTGACTCCCTCCCCGGCGTTTCCTCCCAGATCCATCCTGAAGGGCTTCGCTGCAGATGCCAGAGACCTGTCTGCTACCGAAACCAAGACGCTGCTGGCTGCGGGCGACAAGGATGGGGATGGCAAGATCGGCATCGACGGTGAGTAGCCACGGCCTGGGGCCCGGGCACATGGGGATCTTGGGATGTTTGGATGCTAAAAGCTCGGAGCTATGTCTGTCACGGGCAAGGAGAGGAGGGGTCACACAACTCCCAAGATCAGAAGGAGAAAGGCAGTCTGTTAGGGCTGAGGCTCTGTCATGTAACCAGGCAAAGAAAAACTGGTGTATTTCTTCCAGATTTGAACGATCCTAAGGGAGCAGATTCTCCCCGCCCCTCTCCCCCCCCCCCCCCCACCTTGTGGAAAGGGCAGGCAGGAGCATGTGGGACCGTCCCTGAACTTGGCCTGCATCTTTCCCTGGGTTTTGGTCCTGGCTCTGTCCACACTGGCTGTGTGACCTTGGGAGTCTCTCTTCTTCTCTGGGCCTCCGTCTCCCTCTGTAACCCGAGGAGATGAGGCCAGCTAATCCCCACGGACCCCGCTGGCTCTCACGTTCTCAGATTCCAGGGATGGAAATTCCTTCTCCCCTATCCTCCTCCACATCTTGTCAGGTGTCCTGTAACTTCAAGTCTCAGGCCCGTTCACCCAAACAGACCGTTCCCGCATTGTAGGCGAGCCAGGAAAAACGGCCGGCCGAGGACGGGCTGGGAGTGAGGAGACGGAGTACCTTGCTGTTCACGCTTTGCTTCCAGGGCAGGGGAGGGGCTGGCGGTCCAGCCTCTCACAACCTTCTCCACGCAGACCTAACCCCCGTGCCCGGAGCACATCCCGCGTCACATCCCGCATCACATCCCGCATCACTCTCCTCCTTAGCATCACAGCATCCTCGGACGCTGTCTTCATTTCGCAGGTGGGCACACTGTGCCTTAGGCTATTCAAGGAGCCAGGACATGAGGGGTGGGCAGGGAATCAAACCAGCTCCGAAGAACCCTTTCCGACTCGCTGTGCAGCCCCTGCGCCTATGACCGTCTTTCCTGCCGGTCTAGGTGAAAACCGTGTGTAGGAGCTTGGCCTCCAGGCGCAGGCGGTCTGGGGTCAAATCCCAGCTCCGCCACCTCCCGGCTGCGTGCCTTTGGGCAATTCCAGTAACCACTCTGGGCCTCAGTCTTCCCTTCTCTAAACTGAGCCTGATGACCGTTCTCCTCCCCGAGGTTTGTCACGAGGGTTAGATGTCAGTGTGCGAAGCGTTTCGAACGGTGCCTGGTGCAGAGCGAGTGCCCAGTGCGTTTGTTCACGGTGCTCACCCTTTCGCCTCAGTGTCCACCTGGCCAAAGCGGGCACGCACTGCACATCTGCCGCCTGAGTGGGAAGGCCGCCCCCACCCCATGCTCGGCTTCCTCTCTGCCCTGCAGCGGCCGTGACCTTGGCCACACTGAGGTTCCACTTGCACAGTTTTAGCCTAAGACCTGCTTGTGCTCGTTGTGAAATTAAGTGGCTGTAGACAGAAATTGCTCTGGGAAAGGTATGAGGATGCTGATCGCGGGCATCGTTTATGAAAGTTTTATGTCAGAAACGAGAATAGAGAACCTCTGAAGGTCAGACGCAGCGGCTGCCCAGCCTGGTGATGACAGCTGCCCCTTTTTTGTGGCTGGGAAGGAAGGGGGGGGGGGCGGTTAAAGGAGGCAAGTGAAGGGTGCTGGAGGGAAATCGGTGACTCCAGTAAGTGGCCCATCTCCCCCACACCCCCATCCTCACCAAACCACTTATCGGATAGCTCCCCCGGAGCCTGGACTCCCGCCGTGACCCACCCCAGGCCTCCAGACCTGCTCCCATTTTATTTGCAGCCAACGTGCCACGGCTCAGAGCCCTAGGCAGGGTCTCCATGGCTGGCTGCTCACCAGCAACCTAAATGAAGAAGAGAAACCAGGCCAGGTCCTGGCCTGCTTCCTTGGCTCCCTCCCTCCTCCCCTCCCTCCGATCTTAAAGAGCTTACTAAACTCTTCCAACAAACGCTACCAGGGGCACCCCTGTGCCGGACATGGGGGAGGTACAGTTGAATCAGGCCCAACGCCCAGAGGCACCATTTCCTGGCTGGGTGCCCCTAAGCAGCAGCTCAGCAACCCTGAGCCCCAGTTTCCTCATCTCTAAACGGGATGCGATAATACAGACCCACCTGGGATTCTGTGAGGCGTCCATGACCCGATGTGTGGAGTGCTGAGTGCAGTGCCCAGCACATAGTACGTGCTCAGCAAACACCACCAAGCTACTGTTTCTATTCTGTCCCCACGGTGCTCACAGCCCTGTGTATGTGCACACAAACGAATGGGGACGCCAGGCAGAGGCCGGGAGGTGCAGACCGGCTCTGTGGAGAGGGAGAGACACGGGCAGGTCTGGAGGCTGTGGGCAGGAACGCCGCAGGCTGGGAGGGCGGGGAGGGAGGCCCAGGCAAGGCGCTGGTCCTGGCAAAGCCACTAAGGGAGGGAGTCTAGGGCATGTTTAGAAAGAGGCAATATGATTGATTTGCCCAGCGTGGGATGTGCCCGGAGAAGTGTTACCCGGGTGTGTAATGTGTGCCCAGCCTGTGCTGGGGTCTGCGCAAATGTCACCTCATTTGACCTTGAGATGATAGAGGACATGCGTGTAGTCACAGAAAGACCACCTCCAGGGCCCAAGGTGACAGTGGGTTCAAACCCAGGTCTGTCTGCCAGCACAGTGCCGGCTCAGGCCACCTGGTGAAGGCCTGCGGGTCAGGACAGAACACAGCGGGGGGCGGGGCAAGAGAGGAAATAGGCTGTGAGAGCAGACCACCCCACGGCCACCCCCAAACACAGCGCTCCTTCGGGAGGTGCTGAGAGGTGGGCATGCTGTTGCCCAGCAGGCAGCCAGATGGGGGCAGAGCCACAACCGCCCCAGGAGGTTCTATTCCAGGCTCTCAGCTTGGCTGCCTGCTTGCTCTAAAGCAGTGGTTCTCAACCTTCCTAATGCCGCGACCCTTTAATACAGTTCCTCATGTTGTGGTGACCCCCAATTTCATTGTCACAAATTGAACATAATTAAAGCATAGTGATGAATCACAAAAACAATATGTAATTATATATGTGTTTTCCGATGGTCTTAGGCGACCCCTGTGAAAGGGTCGTTCGACCCCCAAAGGGGTCTTGACCCACAGGTTGAGAACCGCTGCTCTAAAGGCTGGAGGGCCTGGAGCAGGGGTCCTCAAACTTTTTAAACAGGGGGCCAGTTCACTGTCCCTCAGACCGTTGGAGGGCCGGACTATAGTTTAAAAAAAAACTATGAACAAATTCCTATGCACACTGCACATATCTTATTTTGAAGTAAAAAAACAAAATGGGAACAAATACAATATTTGTATTTGCATGTGGCCCGCGGGCCGTAGTTTGAGGACCTGTGGCCTGGAGGATGCTTTCACCTCCTGGCGGGACTGGGGGCGTCGCAGAATCCCTCTGACCTTCACGTGCCTGTTTACTAAGCTCAGGAGTCAAGTCACTAGCCAATCACTGGGGTCCCTTCCAGCTCTGGGGACCCACGGGTGTCCCCGGGAACAAACCGCTGCAGGAGGCCCAGCCCGGCCCCTCGGCTCGGCTGTGCCACCTTGAACAGTGACAACAATCACCTTCACCGTCACGGAGCACTGACCGTGTGCCGGGCACAGTGCGAGCATTTACTCATTGGAGCTTCCCAGCTGTCTTGGAGGTGGACACTCTTACTATCCCATCTATAGAGGCTCCCAGAGGCTGAGTTTGCCTAAATATCTGTGCCTGGGAAATGACAAGGTCAAGATCTGAGTTCAGGTCTGTCTGGACCCCCAGCCCGTGCCCGGGCTGCCTGCTTCATTCATTCACTCAAAGTTGAATGAGCTTCTCCCATACGGTGACATTCACTGACGCATTGCTTGCTTCTCTCCCCCGCTGGCATATCAGTCCCATGAGAGCAGGCCTCAGTTTTGCTCCGTGTGCTAGAAAAGGGCGGGCACGCCGGAAGGTAGCTGAGTGAGTGAGTGAACCTGTGTCCTGCTCGGGGATGCAGTGAGGACGAGGTCCGTGTGGGCTGGAGACGCGTGTGGCCGGGGCTGGCGTGCAGCAGGTGTGGGGCTCCTCGACGCAGGGCTGCCTCCGTCTCCAGCGCCGTTGGCGCTTCTGAAGATGAGGGGTGTTTACCGTGTTCTTCAGGGTCCCAGGCGGAAGGGAGAGACCAGGAAGACCAAGTTCTAATCTTCATCATCCTTGCATTCCCGTCCCTGGTCCACTCGTTCCAGGAACCTCGGACTTGAGTAGGCGTGGCCGACTGGTTCTGGGAGGCCCCCCAAGTGCAGCGCTGGGAAGGGGGCTTGAGGCAGAGGTGGACGCTGCCCCCCAACCCAGCAGCAGCTGCCCATTCTGGGCACAAACAGCAGACGACACTGAGTGCCAGCTTCCTTCCCCAGCCCTCGTCCTGAGCAGGGTGAACCTGAGGCTGAATGGCCCAGAGCGTGTTTCTCAACACAGAAGCGTCTGGTTCCTTAGGATTGGGGGCGCCGGGGGGGGGGGGCGCGGGGGCACGAGTTTGCATTTCTACCAAGTCCCCGTGGTGCTGATAAGCTGGGACCACACTTGGAGAACCGCTGCCTCACAATGCCCGAGAAAACAGGTGCCCTTACTCTTCCCATTTTACAAACGAGGAAACTGAGGCACTGAGAGAAACGTGCCCAGGGCCACTCAGCCACGGAGCCAGGATTGGGGCTCACAGGTCCAGCTGGGACCCGCTGCCACCCTGCCTGTCACCCGGCCTGTCCCCCGCCCGGGCTCTCCACACCGGTGCCTGCACATGGATGGGACAGGGACAGCGGTTATGGCCGCGCGGCACTTCCTGTGCACTGGGGACTGCACACGGGCCTCCCCTCTTCCGGCTCCGGCAGTCCCCACACCGGCTGCCCCAGACAAGGAAACTGAGGCTCCGGGAAGTGGGGCAACTTGCCCAGGATCACTATCAGTATCAGTATCAGGGCGGAGCTATTCAAACGTTGACACTCTGACTCCAAATATCTTGATCTTCCTCTCCATGCTGGAGACAAGGTGTGCACACCCCATACACACACACACGG